TGAAAAAAAAAAAATCATGTGCTACACTACACACACAGCATGAAATTCCAGCCATAGATTACACACATACACATCCATCACAAAAATACTCACACACACACAATAATTCTTCAACTAAACCTAATTGACCCACACATTTCATTTCATTCATTCATGTCTATTCATCGCCACTAGATCTACTCGAGTTTGACCTCCTAGCGGTGAGGCTACACTCATAGGCATTTCTAATCGTTCAGGTTCTAATCCCAAAGTTGTAACACATTTAGAAGAAATGAAAGAGTGTGATGCTCCAGAATCAAACAAGACTTGTACACACGAGTTCATAAGGATGAGTATACCTTGGATCACTGAAGGATTTCCGGTGTCTTCTCCTTCTTGGAGTGCAAAAACTCTCCCAAGGACACCCTGATTTGGCACCCAAGGTTTCCTTGCATTGGCATCTCCTGGTTGTTGAGTTCTCGATTGTCCCACATTCCGATTAGTTGGCGGTTGACCTCTTCCGGATTGGGAATTTTGCACAGTTCGTGTTCCTTGGGTTGGCGCGCATTTGTTCCGTTGAGTGGCCCCTCCTTGATTAATGTAGTAGCCTAACCTTTGAGGACAGTTGTTTCTAAGGTGCCCTTCTTGGCCACATTCATAACACCTCCTAGCCCCTTCCCTACTACGCTGTTCAGGATTATACCCTTGCTGTTGTTGTGCCCTCCTAGCATAAGGTATCGAAGCAGCAGGGGTCCTATTGTTCCTTGAGGGTCCTCCGCTTCTTTGCTGGTTGGCTCTAGACTGCTGACCTTGAGTCCTTGCAGTGTCCATCTTCTCTCTTTCTAGAGCAAGAGCCCTATCTACTACCTGCGCATAAGTAGGTAGCTGCACTGCGACCAGCTTGTCTCGGAGTCCTGAGTTGAGTCCCCACTCAAAGCACCTTACCTTGTCTGTTTCATTTGTCACTATAGTTGTGGCATGGCGAGAAAGGGCCTCAAATTGATTGGCACACTGTGTCATAGTCATGCCCCCTTGTTTCAGTTTGAGAAATTCTTGGATCATTTCTTGCCTCACCGAGTTTGGGAAGTACTTTTCCATAAACAATTCCTCGAACTGTCTCCAAGATAGTTCTGCCACTTGACGACTTTCCTTGATCATTGTCCACCAGAAATCGGCCTCCCCCTCGAAGAGAAATGAGGCGAGGGACACTTGGTCTTGCTCATTCTGAATTTCTAGCGTTTCCAATATTTTCTTCACTTGCCTTATCCATGTCGAGTAGGGATTGGGTTCTCGGAAAAATTTCTGGGACTTGAGTTTTTGAAATTTCGCTATTAATTCTGCCTTGTTGTTTTCACGCCTGGGTTGGTTTCTTAGTTCATTGGTAATTGCCCGAACGAAATTCATGACGTCACTGTCGGTGGTGTTGTCGTTGTTGTTGTCATTGAATCCATTTCCCCTAGTGCTTCCTGCCATTTTTTGCATAAAGGATATTAATCATTTACTATCGGCACGATGTAAGTACTTATTTAATTATTTATTTTATGCGAATAAGCATTCACTAAGTTTAACTAGAACTGAAACTTTTCATTGCAACAAAGGATCGGTTACATGACCAAAAATTACATTTATCACCAGACCGGGAGGATTATTTCACCCCATTTCATAACCACTATTAGACTAGGCTTTTACAATGAAATTCCAACAAAATTGTTTACCCGCCTAGTCTACCCTCTTCAGTCTCTCCTCCCCTCAAACAAAAAGCCATGGGTAGTGCTGATGCATTTGCCAGGCATGCTCCCAACTCTCATCATACAGCCTATAGCACTTCCAACGGACTAACAGCTTAAGCTGTCCCATTCCCGCATGTTGGCCCAAGATCCTTACAAGGACTTCTTTGTAGGTGAGTGGGTCGAAGAAGTCGACTGTCCCGTTCGTGGGTACGAGCTTTCTAGCCGATGGGGATGCCAGGAAGATGTCTCGTTGGTGGAAGAAATTGGTGTAATTGTCTTCCAGGGCTGGTGGTAGCGGTCCTACTTCATACATGGCCCTTGCCAACTCTCGGATAACTCGCACAGGCCCCAGATATTTGTTGTCCCCCCTTCGGTGTTTCCACTCGCAAGGTAGTAGTGGTTCCAGCTTAACATACGCCTCTAGCCCTATCGGGAATGCCCCCATCTGCACTACATTCCCCGAGTCTGCTTCACCTTCTTCGAAGGCATATTCAATTGAGGAGATGGGGTCGAACTCAATGTCACTTCCCCCCCAACCAAACTCTTCCTGTGGAATGGCGGCCAAGGGTTCCACGACTTCCACTTCCGCGTCTACCTCTGCGTCTTCTTTGTCTAGCGGTTCTTCTTCTGGATATCCCTCCGGATCTTCCTTCTCAGGCTCGGGTTCCTCTTCATCCATCGTCTCCTCTTCTGGATCCTCATCCGGGTCCTCTTCCTCATGGACTGACCCTAAAGTTTCCGCCCCTACCTCTGGGTCAGTTAATAAGGGTTCTTCTTCAAGTTCGGGACCCGAGAGCCAGTCCTCGTTATGAGATGAGCTTGACATTCTCAAGGAGAATACAACGTTGTTACACTCTCAGTATGGTCTTAGGTCATCAAATGTTTTTAATTAAAGTGTAGTAAATGATACATGCTTAAGCCTACCCAAGGTCTCAAGGGTTTCTAGACCTAAACTCTGATACCATGTTGTGACGTCCCAAAATTTAAGGACATCATAATAAGATTTAAAACTTAAAATTTAATTTTCTTAATTAAGGACTCTTCCTTAATGTTGCCACCAAGTTTACCAACATCTATTAACTAACATCCCATAAATTAAAAGTTCTTAAGTTATAACTCCAAATAAACTTAAAACTTAGTCTTAGAAAAAAAAAACACACACACACAAATATAAAAAAATAAAACTAGGAAAATGGTTCATGGAATAGTGGGCATTCTTCAAGCTAACCAAGGCTGAATGTTGCCTTGCAAGGCCTCGGCGCTTCCTTCGGTTTCTTCGATACCTGGCATAAAACGCCAAGGCAATGAGAATGCCAATGAGCGACGAGCCCAATAAGATACTACAACCCGAAAATACCCACCCCGATAATAATACTCACAAATAATAAATATTGTGGAATAACAGAATAACAAGCAACATTTAACAAACATAACCAGAATGCTATTGGTTGAAATATTAACAATAGACAATAAAAACAATGGCAAGCGGAAGCAGTATTTCATAATAAGGAAAAATGCCAACCTTTCTTTTTAAATTCACATAGATTTAGTTTAACAGGTAAGTTTAAGTAACTCCCCGCGGAGCACTATTTCCACTCAACCGCTAAGCAATGGCCACGGGCAATTCTGACTCCCCCTTGGTCAAATATTCAAATGTTACTTAAGCACGTGTCATTTACTACACTTTAATTAAAAAACATTCGATGACCTAAGACCATACTGAGAGTGTAATAACGTTGTATTCTCCTTGTAGGATGTCAAGCCCATCTCATAACGAGGACTGGCTCTCGGATCCCGAACCTGAACAAGAACCCTTATTAACCGACCCAGAGACAGAGGCGAAAACTTCAAAGTCAATCCATGAGGAGACGATGGATAAAGAGAATGAAGAGGAGCCCGAGCCTGAGGAGGAAGATCCGGAGGAATATCCAAAAGAAGAACCGCTAGACGAAGAAGACGCAGAGGTAGACGCAGAAGTGGAAGTCGTGGAACCCTTGGCCGCCATTCCGCCGAAAGAGTTTGGTTGGGCGGGAAGTGACATTGAGTCCAACCCCATCTCCTCAATTGAATATGCCTTCGAAGAAGGTGAAACGGACTCGGGGAACGCAGTGCAGATGAGGGCATTCCCGATAGGGCTAGAGGCATATGTTAAGCTAGAACCACTGATACCTTGCGAATGGAAACACCGAAGGGGGGACGACAAATATCTGGGGCCTGTGCGAGTTATCCGGGAGTTGGCAAGGGCCATGTATGAAGTAGGACCGCTACCACCAGCGCTGGAAGACAATTACACCAATTTCTTCCACCAACGAGACATCTTCCTGGCAGCCCCATCGGTTGGAAAGCTCGTACCCACAAACGAGACAGTCGATTTCTCCGACCCACTCACCTACAACGAAGTCCTTGTAAGGATCTTGGGCCAACATGCAGGAATGAGAGGGCTCAAGCTGTTAGTCCGTTGGAAGTGCTATGGGCTATATGATGAGAGTTGGGAGCATGCTTGGCAAATGCATCAGCACTACCCATGGCTTTTTGTTTGAGAGGAAAGACTGAAGAGGGTAAACTAGGCGGATAAACTATTTTGTTGGAATTTCATTGTAAAAGCCTAGTCTAATAGTGGTTATGAAATGGGGTGAAATAATCCCCTCGGTCTAGTGATAAATGTAATTTTTGGTCATGTAACCGATCATTAGTTGCAATGAAAAGTTTCAGTTCTAGTTAAACTTAGTGAATGCTTGTTCGCATAAAATAAATAATTAAATAAGTACTTACATCGTGCTGATAGTAAACAATTAATATCCTTCATGCAGAAAATGGTAGGAAGAACTAGGGGAAATGGATTCAATGACAACAACGACAACAACACCAACAGTGACGTCATGAATTTTGTTCGGGCAATTATTAATGAACTAAGAAACCAACCCAGGCCTGAAAACAACAAGGCAAATTTAATAGCGAAATTTCAAAAACTTAAGCCCCAGAAATTTTTCGGAGAATCCAATCCCTACTTGGCATGGATAAGGCAAGTGAAGAAAATATTGGAGATGCTAGAAATTCAGAATGAGCAAGACCAAGTGTCCCCCGCCTCATTTCTCTTCGAGGGGGAGGCCGATTTCTGGTGGACAATGATCAAGGAAAGTCGTCAAGTGGCAAGACTATCTTGGAGACAGTTCGAGGAATTGTTTATGGAAAAGTACTTCCCAAACTCGATGAGGCAAGAGATGATACAAGAATTTCTCCAACTGAAACAAGGGGGCATGACTATGACACAGTATGCCAATCAGTTTGAGGCCCTTTCTCGCCATGCCACAGCTATAGTGGCCAATGAAACAGACAAGGTAAGGCACTTTGAGTGGGGACTCAACTCGGGACTCTGAGACAAGCTGGTCGCAGTGCAGCTACCTACTTATGCACAGGTAGTAGATAGGGCTCTTGCTCTAGAAAGAGAGAAAATGGACACTGCAAGGACTCAAGGTCAGCAGTCTAGAGCTAACCAGCAAAGAAGCAGGGGACCCTCAAGGAACAATAGGACCCCTACTGCTTTGATACCTTATGCTAAGAGGCCACAACAACAGCAAGTGTATAATCCTGAACAGCGTAGTAGGGAAGGGGCTAGGAGGTGTTATGAATGTGGCCAAGAAAGGCACCTTAGGAACAACAATCCTCAAAGGTCAGGCTACTACATTTATCAAGGAGGGGCCACTCAACGGAACAAATGTGTGCCAACTCAAGGAGCGCAAGCTGTGCAAAATTCCCAATCCAGTAGAGGTCAGCCGCCAGCTAATCGGAATATGGGACAACCGAGGGCTCAACAACCAGGAGATGCCAATACAAGGAAACCTTAGGGGCAAAATCAAGGTGCCACTAGAAGAGTCTTTGCACTCCAAGAAGGAGAAGATACTGGAAATCCTTCAGTGATTCAAGGTATACTTATCCTTATGAACTCTTATGTACAAGTCTTGTTTGATTCTGGAGCATCACACTCTTTTATATCTGCTTCGTGTGTTATAACTTTGGGACTAGAGCCTGAACGGCTAGAAACACCTATGAGTGTAGCCTCACCACTAGGAGGTCAAACTCGAGTAGATCTCATATGCAAATCATGTGAACTAGGAGTCTCCAGTTTGCATTTTACTTGCGACCTACGAGTCATGGAAATGTCAGACTTTGACGTTATCTTAGAAATGGACTGGTTACCAGCCCATAGAGCCACCATTGATTGCTATCGAAAGACGGTGACTGCTTACTCTCAGGACTGAATGCGATTCCAATATAAGGGGGATAGACAAGATTCCCTATCACCGACTCTTCGAAAATCAAAGTGGCACGATCACCTAGCTGGATGGTTAGCCAACTTAGTTTTGGAAGACAGAGATCATATGGAACTAGGGCTACCTCGTGTGGTACGCGAGTATATTGATGCATTTCCGGAGGAATTACCAGGACTAATCCCAAAGCGAAAAGTAGACTTTACCATCGAACTACAACCTGGCACATCACCAATCTCAATGGCACCACATCGTATGGCACCAGCTGAACTGAGAGAGCTAAAGACACAGTTGCGAGAATTGTTGGACAAGGAATTTATAAGGCCAAGCACGTCCCCATAGGGAGCACCAGCCTTATTCGCTAAGAAGAAAGATGGGACACTTAGGTTGTGCATTGATTACCGCCAACTCAATAGAGTCACCATTAAGAATTGGTATCCACTACCTAGGATTGACAACCTCTTTGATCAGCTCAGAGGGGCAAAGTGTTTCTCAAAGATAGGCCTCAGATCTGGGTATCACCAGTTGCGTATTCGGGAAGAAGATATTCCTAAGACTGCATTTCGAACCCGTTACGGCCACTATGAGTTTGTAGTGATGCCATTCGGCTTAACCAATGCACCAAGTGTGTTCATGAGTTTAATGAACAAAATATGCACGCCTTACTTAGATCAATTTGTGAAAGTTTTCATTGATGATATTTTGGTGTATTCCAAGTCTGAAGGAGACCATGAACAACATTTGAGAAGAGTACTTCAAACCTTGAGGGAGAACCAACTGTATGCTAAAGCTAGTAAATGTGAATTCTAGATGGATGAAGTAAAATTTTTGGGTCACGTGGTGTCTGCAAAGGGAGTATCGGTGGACCCAACTAAAGTAGAGGCAGTGACAGAATGAAAGCAACCTAAGAACACATTCGAGATTCGTAGTTTCTTAAGGTTGGCCGATTACTATCGAAGATTCCTTTAGAACTTCTCAAGGTTGGCTAAACCAATGACACGCTTGACTCAAAAAGAAGTTAAGTTTGAATGGAACGAGTCTTGTAAAAATTCATTCCAAGAACTTAAGAAAAGATTGACGAGTGCCCCTATTCTCATAGTACTAGAGCGTGACGTTGGGTACAATGTGTATTGTGATGCTTCCAAAGAAGGTTTGGGGTGCGTGTTGATGCAAAATGACAAGGTGGTGGCATATGGATAAAGGCAATTAAAGAACCATGAGAAGAATTATCTCACTCATGACTTGGAGTTAGCAGCCATAGTTCATGCACTCAAAATTTGGAAACACTACCTATATGGTGAAAAGTTTGAGATATTCACTGACCACAAAAGCTTGAAGTATCTGTTCACCCAAAAGGACTCGAACATGCGTCAGAGACGTTGGATGGAGTACCTTGAGGATTACCAATTTACCCTTTCTTATCATCCCAGCAAGACTAATGTTGTAGCAGATGCATTAAGCCGCAAAAATAGAGGGACTGTTGCTAGCTTAGCCCTTAGAGAATGGAATATGATTGGAACGCTCAATGAATTTGGGGTACAGATGGAGGTTCAAGATGAAAAGGCTTACCTTGGTGCTCAAATTGCTACGCCTAAAATTTTGAGCGAGATATTAGAATCACAGCAATACGATCAGGAGGTGGCATTCATCAAGGCACGAATGGAATCTAGTGAAACCATGCTTGGTTGGGAAATTCACATAGATGGGAGTTTGAAATATCAAGGTCGAGTGTTCGTGCTGAGTGACGACTCACTAAGAGAAAAGGTACTTAAGGAATTTCACCATTCAGTATTCGCAGTACATCCAGGAGGTACTAAGATGTACCAAGACTTAAAACACCAATATTGGTGGGGCGGAATGAAAAAGGATGTAGCCAAGTTTGTGTCTAAGTGCTTGACATGTCAACAAGTAAAGGCTTAATACCAAAGACCAGCAGGAACATTTCAACCTTTACCAATCCAGGAGTGGAAATGGGAACACATAACCATGGATTTTGTGACGGCTTTGCCTCGATCACCACAGAGACATGACGGCGTATGGGTAGTGGTAGATCGACTAACTAAGATTTCCCGATTCTTACCAGTCGGGTCATCAGATACGTTAGACTCACTCAGTAGATTGTTCATCAAAGAAGTGATCAGATTACACGGAGTACCAGTTAGCATCGTGTCTGATCGTGATCCTCGATTCACTTTCCAATTTTGGCAGAGCTTGCAGAAGGCAATGGGAACGAACTTATGTTTTAGCACGGCATTTCACCCACAAACAGATGGACAATCTGAAAGGACGATACAAACCTTGGAGGATATGCTTCGAGCTTGCGTTATGGATTTTGATAGAAGTTCGGAGAAACACTTACCTCTCGTTGAGTTCGCTTACAACAATAGTTTCCAGGCCAATATTAGAATGGCACCGTATGAAACACTTTATGGGCGACCTTGTCGATCACCAATCTGTTGGACAGAAGTAGGGAAGAAAGCAACCTTGCTAGGACCAGACCTAGTTCAGGAGACCACTGACAATGACTAATCACAGCCCAAAGTCAACAAAAGAGTTATGTGGATCAAAGGAGACGGCCTTTAACTTTTGAGGTAGGCGATCATGTTTTTCTGAAAGTTCGACCTTGACGAGGTACTACGCGATTCGGAAAGAAAGGAAAACGTGCACCTCGTTACGTGGGACCCTTTGAAATTTTGAGCAAGGTAGGAGAGGTAGCATACCGTCTAGCACTACCACCACAGCTCGCAGCAATGCACAATGTCTTTCACATCTCAAAACTCGCACATGCATCAAAATGTGAATTGGACAAAGTAAAGGGACACGGAATTGAACAGATACATTAAAATTTAAAAGTGATGGGGTGAGCCCGGTTTAGAATCTTGCGCAAGTGAGTTGCGAACCCTAACATGGCACGGGAAGGTATTTCGGCTTTTATCGGTACAGGCGATATAAGGTTGGTGATGCAGGTGTCACAACATAGACCGTTCTCTTGGGACAGACCGTGATGTCACGACTCGAGTACGTAACCCTGGTGCGTGGGCATCATTGGTAATTACAGTAAGTAACATTTGAATATTTGACCAAGGGGTAGTCAGAACTGCCCGTGGCCATTGCTTAGCGGTTGAGTGGAAATAGTACTCCGCGGAGAGTTACTTAAACTTACCTATTAAACTAAATCTATGTGAATTTAAAAAGAAAAGTTGGCATTTTTCCTTATTATGAAATACTGCTTCCGCTTGCCATTGTTTTTATTGTCTATTGTTAATATTTCAACCAATAGCATTCCGATTATGTTTGTTAAATGTTGCTTGTTATTCTGCTATTCCACAATATTTATTATTTGTGAGTATTATTATCGGGGTGGGTATTTTCGGGTTGTAGTATCTTGCTCGTCGCTCATTGACATTTCCATTGCCCTGGCGTTTTATGCCAGGTATCGAAGAAACCGACGGACGCGCCAAGGCCTTGCAAGGCTACATTCAGCCTTGGTTAGCTTGAAGAATGTCCAAGATTCCATGAACAATTTTCCTAGATTTATTTTGTTCATATTTGTGTTGTTTTTTTTTTTTTTATTCTAAGACTAAGTTTTAAGTTTATTTGGAGTTGTAACTTAAGAACTTTTAATTTATGGAATGTTAGTTAATAGATGTTGGTAAACTTGGTGGCAACATTAAGGAAGAGTTCTTAATTAAGAAAATTGAACTTTAAATTCTAAATATTATTATGATGTCCTTAAATTTTGGGGCATCACATCTAAACTCTGTGATACTCTCCTTAAACTCAAAGAAACATCTTAGATGATTCATGGTGGGTAAAAACAAAAAAAGAGAAACGAATGGAAATTCAAAATCACAAGAAACAAATGAAAGGAAGGAATCAACTTACAAGAAGACCAAATTGAAACTACAGATTGTAGACAAAAGGAACATGTATAGACTTCTGAGAAGACGGTCAGCAAAGTAGTGAAGGGGAAGGAGCATCTCCTCAATTTATGCGTCAAAAGCAAAACGGCGCATGGAAAGACAAAATGACGAATGTCATCATTAATATGGAAAAACAAAAAAGACGCGTGTCGCTAGCAGAAGTAACAACTTAGGTCTCCATTTGATCGACAGTGTTGTCTTCGGCAATCCTCCACAGATGAACGTCGAAGAGGGGCAATTATGAAAGGATAAAACATTGGCTCAAACCCTAGCCCAGCCAAGCAGGATGTCCCAAGGGAAAAGCCCAGATAGCCAAAAGGTCTGTTAGATAAGGGGACAATGTCACATAACCAAAGCCATTGTAAAATCATCTTTTAGAAAGAGATCTACAGAATGTATGGAAGCCCTTAGATCCATCCTTAATCAACGATGAGGACAACAATTGTCAGAGATAAGGATGTAGGCACAGCCTACCCAAATGACACAATCATCTGATGATCTTAATCAGACAGATGAAGCATTCAACAAGTTGGCCACTAATATCTGACATAATCTAAGCCACCCACAGCAAGATGATCTAACGGTAACGAGTCAAGACAACGTGGCCACTTGCCCGACTAAAGTCCAAAAGCAAGCAGAGCCCTCAAATCAAGATATTAACTCGACGACCGAGGCCCAAGATATTAATACTATTAAAAGAGGAATAAGAAAAAGTAAGGAGACAAACAAGAGGTAACTAAGACTCCTTTCACAAAATACTATGGGGGTGTTTGTTGTGGAAGGATTGGGTATGGGATTGGATTATTAGTCCGTTGTTTGTTTCAAAAGTTTTGTTTCGGACTAATATTTGTGGGACTATGGTATCCCATTGGGTAGGTGGGTGGAGGGTAGAAACCATGGGATAACTCATCCCATGGGATTAGCTAATAAAATTACATTTTTACCCTCTAGTATTTAATTATGTATTATATTTAGTAAAATTTAATAAAATTTAAATGTCTCAATTTAAAAATAAAATAAAATAATTTTATTTAATTTTT